ATTTATTTATTTATTTATTTATTATTAAATTTGTATGCCGCCCATCTCCCCCAACGGGTGACTCTGGGTGGCTTGCAGTTAAAATCAAAACCTTGACAACAATTAAAAATACCCCATAAATAATTAAAGTGAATTAATCCATTAAAAATCAATTATAAAAAACAAACCCTATACATAAATACTAAAAACATTCAAGATGACGGGGGGGGGCAAAGTCAGTCACCCCACAAGCCACCTGACAAGCCACCTTCACTTGGAATATTTTACATGGTAATGGCCCTGGTGCCGTTTTCCAAAACTGGAAAGGGATTTTTCATACATCTGCTCCCTATTTATTAATCTGCCTTTCAATGCCATTTCTAGCAGCTCTAGTAGGACTGTTGACCTCTTATCCTTGTGGCTTCTGAGAAGCATCTTATTGGTCACTCTGTGTAATGGCTTGTGAGAAAGATCTTGAGAGATGGGGCAAAGAGATGCTGTCCAGGGAATGATCAGATAAGAGAGGGCATAGCCCGCAGCTGCATAATGGGTGGAGAAAGAGGCTGAGAGGGGACCCTCCCTAGCTTCCCAGGCAGTAAAGGAGATGGCAGGAGATTTGTACTTTCAGACTTGCAAGAGTTTCTTAATGTAGCCTTGCAATAAAGTAGTATTGGCTCATCTGGTCATGTTTCCTATCTGGTCCACCTGGGAAGGCTGACACTCTGAGAAGCAGTGAACTGGACACTGAGGACCTATTTTGAGCAGATGGCTGGTGACTGAATGATATCTGCCAGGAACAAATGGGATGCCACCTTCTTGGAGGGCTCCTTAGAAGCTCTTGTTGCTGAAAAGAGCTGGTCTGGCTTGATCTTGAGTAATCCAATTGGGCAGCACTTGTATTCCAAAATGGAACTCCAAGTTGCTCTTCTATCCAAGTCCTGTCCAAACCCAAACTGTGTTGGCTTAAGCAAGTTGGATGGATCCTATCTGTTAAATCCATTCCTCATACATCACTTGTTTGTGTTAACAGAGGAACATAAACAAATAAGAAATCCCCAGTCCTTGGGAAATTACAGTTCATTAAAAAATAAGGAGGGGACATGGGATGAGGTTCTATTCCAAACTGGGATTGGTGTTAGTTCCTAGCAAGAGCTTGGCTTCCAGCATGCTAACCATCCTGGCTAGCTTAATACACAGCTCAGTCTGGCAATTTTTACAGAGAGGTTCAACTGTTGCTTCAGCAACAGAAAAAGGCAGAAATAGATCGAAAATGGGCTACAGTTCTGGCCTGGTGGCCACCTCATTCTCTTCTAGGAGAACCAGCCACTAACTCTGATGGTGCAGAAGAAACCCTGGCTTGGCTGGTGCTTCAGAGATGAGAAATAGTCGTGGTAGCCCAACGTTCTCAAGCCAGGGAGGTTTTAGCAAGACCAATGATAGGGAAGAGAGAAGCTGGACAGAAGGTGGTATATAGAAGGGGAAAGGAAAGAAGACCAAGGAAGGGCAGAAAGAAAGAGAAGGGAAAGGAAAAGGAGGTGATGGAGAACAGAGAATGGAGGGGAAGAGAGGAAAAGAGGAGGATAAAGGAAGAAGGAAAGACAGGAAGATGGAGAGGGAGAAGAAGACATAGATGGGAACATAAGTGAAAGTATGAGGGAAGGGAAGAGAGAAAAGGAGAAAGGAGGAGAGAGGACAAGAAGGAGGGGAGAGGAGGAGGAAGAGGAGAATGTCCTGGGGATCAAATGGGAAGAAGATGATGAGGAAAGCAGAGAGACACACCTTGAGGACCAAAACTGTGAGTTTCAAAACTAAAAAAAAAAAAAAATCCTTGAAAGCAATTTTTTTTTTTTAATGAGGTCTGGAAATTAATGAAGCTGAAGCTCCAGAATCATCAGCTGCTCTTTCATTTATTCCCTGATTTAAATATTGATTCTTGTACTTGTCACCAAAAACTCAAATCCTCAAAAAAAAAACATGCTTCAGGAGAATGAAATCATCAAGCAAACGCAACCCCAGATGCTGTTCATGAAAAATAATGAAAAGACAGGAATGCATTTGAATTGAAACGCTGTAAAAAAAAAAAATCCCCCTCCCCAGACTCAGAGCAGGATGTCCTTAATCCACTTCCCTGGCAATTATCATTTGTTCTCCCTAATTAAATGCAACATTAGTTGATTGATCTGCCATTGAAACCCACAAAAGCTTGCCAAGAGCCTTTCTTATTTACCACTGATCAATCATGTTTTCAAACCTGAAATTGGATCTTTCCACTACTGTTTGGGCTCCCAAGATACCAGCCAGCAAATTTACAATCTGAAAATGTCTGTGAAGGGCTGATAAATGTGGTTCTAGCTTCATTTGAAAACAAGTGACATGGGCACACGCACACACACGTTGACCGAAAATTAATGCTGAAGGATGGTTGCCTTGACCTCCCCGTTTCTTCCATCAAAAGGAACAGAAATGGCCATTTTCAGCAGCTTTGGAAAAATGGTCCTAATGAAATGAAAGAGGCCATCAAAACTGTTGTTCCGTCTCTCGAGAGCCTGAAGGGAAACATCGCCTAGATGCGTGGCTTTGATAAATCGGCCGGTGCTTAGCGACTTTTCTCTTGTCTGTGACTGGAGAGAAGAAGGTTGAGCAACTTATCTTGACTGCGCTTCGTTCCTTAAGTAATGAAATTTTTTTTCCCAACCCCCAGATGCCTCTTTGAAGCTGAACAGAGCAAGGGGAAAGACAGATGTACCCTAAACACCCAGAGTGGAGGGACCCTTTCTGAAAACAGCCCCACCCTTTCCAATAGAAATACTTTTTTCTATTCTAGTGAGTCGAACGTACTTATTGAAAGAACTCCTTTTTCACACAAGGCCATAAACTAAATCGATAAATGGTCCGGGTTTGCACAAGACAGGAACCCGCCTCCCCCCGCCGCCACCTCCAAGAAACCCTAAGCAAACCACTTTTGTATGATGCACAATGTAGCCACGACATAATTTGCACTGTGAAGTATGTTGTTGAACCAAACCCGATCGCTTTCAGCATGGTCCCTGGGAGATCCCAGGATCCCAGGATTGCCTAGATACATTTGCTAGCAATTGTGGGAAATAGCTAGACAAGGTAGGCTAGGAGAGAGGAATTTTTCCGTGTTGGGAGGCTGGTCTGTATTTTCCAGTTTCTGAGAGGGTTGCAGGGCATATGGGAGTGAAGGGATTTATCACTAGATGGAAAAGGATTAAATGTTTTGTCTATTTAGGCCAGTGATGGTGAACCTACAACACGTGTGTCAAAGCTGACACGCCATGATGTTTTGGGTGACAGACCAGCATTCACCAACACCCGACAACTACTATTTTTCCTATTTGAGTTACCAAAGAGACTGAGTTTGTTTTACTTGTATTTCCTTTTTGTAATTATTTGACGTTTCTTTATATAATACACAGCACTACACGTGACTGGACTGAATTTTTTTTAAAACAAATGAATATGTAAAGAATTGCTTCTCTTTTGTTCGGGGTGGGGTGACACGCCAGCAGAGTCAAGATAGGCATTTTCCAAATTTTTGACACGCCGAGCCCACAAGGTTCGCCATCACTGATTTAGGCTTTTTTGGGGGGGGGTCTTTTGAGGGTCTTGATCTTTGTAAGTGGTTTCATTCCAACTTGCAGTCAGGTCATTAATTTAGCCAGGTTATGGAATAAAATCACTAATTTAAAATGTTCTAGCGTCTTTGAAGGGGGAGGGTTGCAAAAATTAAAGGGCCCCTCTGCTGATGAAATCTTCCCAACTCCTCCTCCTTTGGGAAGATAACCAGAACTTTGTCTTCCTGGGTGATATGTTTGGATCATCAGCTACATCCCCTGCTAAATCAGAAAGCATTTTTTTTCCAATTAAAAAGAAGGATTAAAGTGTGGCCTTGATCCGAGAAAAAAATCCCACCCCTCTTTTTAGATATTTAATGGGGGGAAAGCTAAACGTTCCTAAATCCACATGTAAGTGTATCCAAGTAGAAAACCAGAGGTGATGTCTTCGTGTGGGTCCAACCTAAGCTTGTTTCTCCCATGCTTTCAGGAAAGGTGTTTTATGCCACCAGCCCGGGTCGGCTGACGTTTCAAATGGCCCAGAAGTATTGCCTGAGTCGGGGGGCTCAGCTAGCAACCACTGGGCAGTTACACCTCGCCTGGCAGGAGGGGCTGGACCAGTGTGACCCGGGGTGGCTTGCCGATGGAAGCGTCCGCTACCCAATCCGAACTCCCCGGAAGAAATGTGGAGGAGATGAACCCGGTGTGAGGACGGCCTACCAGTTCCCGAACCGGACTGGCTTCCCAGATCCAGCATCCCAGTTTGATGCTTACTGTTACAAAGGTTTGTAGGATTTTTTTTTTTTAAATCATAACACAGTTTGGTTTCATCTCGATTTGGATCTTCTGGCTTGAAATCTCCTGGACGTGATGCTATCTTCTTGTCACAACACAAAGCACAGAGGGACTGTCCCGATTTTATAGATGCTTCCAGACTGTGTGTTTCTCCCTGCATTGTTGTATCCTAAATTCCCCAATTTGATTTTCAGCATAATCTGGTGGATTGATGGATTGATTATGTGCTCTCAAGTTGTTTTCGACTCCTAGCGACCACATGGATAGATTTTCTCCATGATGATCAGTCCTTAACTGGTCTTTCAGGTCTTCTCATTATTCTTTTTTCACTATTTTCAAAGGATTTGGGCACTGTAGCCCCAAGGACACCCTAGATGGCTCTTATGGAATTCCCAAATTAAGCAAGAATTAGTACATTTAAACTTGATATTTGAAGCCTCACAAGATTCTTGCATGAGATCTTGTGACCCTGAAACCCAAAGGCCAACATCTCATCAGTTTTCATAGCCTTGGGTATGATCTTGAGAATGGGACTTTAGACATTTTCCGGGGGGAAAACCCACATATTTTTATTTGTTGATACCTGGTACATAAAAATACTTCCTTCTGCCAGTGCACACGGTTTGCTGTTTATGGAAAGCAGCCTTATACTGAATTTGATCAATTGTCCATTTTCAATATTCTGATCAAAAGTTGCTCTCCGTGATTTGATCACAAAGGGATTTTTTCCACCACCTGGGAATAAATCTTCAAAATGTAGTTGTGTATGATCCCTTCTCAATTTCTCTTCTTATTTCTCTTTTTATATGCCACCCAGAGTTGCTGGGAGTTGGGCAGCATATAAATTCATTATTGTTGGTCGTGCAGTCAGCCAGATGTTTAGACTGGATTTGGCATTTTTGTCCACTCATCGAGTCCT